CAATGCAAATGAAAGCAGCTGCGCAGTTGTCGTGCCATTAACAACTCAGCATTTAATGTGTTATAACATGCTTAGCAAGTTTAAGCATTATGTTCTTTAGTCAATTAGAGAAACAATTAAATACAAATTTCAAGTCACTTTAATGACTTTTCACTGCCGCCCAGTTGCCGCTTAATTTTCCAGCAACCCAATTCAATTTTAGCGCCTTGCTTTGCGCGGCAAGAACAAGAAACACAAGCAGAGCATAAATGCACAGCTGGCAGCGTCGCTCTCGCATGCTCTCTCGTAATATTGTGACAATGCTCGCACTCTTGCACTCTCGCGTCGTAATCGGAATCGGCAGCAGCGAAAGAAATCGAAATCCAATTGGCATGTCGCCTGCAGGTTTAGTCCCGACTCGAACGCCTAGCTGAAAAGTCCTTAAATTGCCTTCTAACAGTGCGCAAATAAAAATTATTTTTTTCAGTGTTTTGTCTCTCTGTGTATGTGCGTATCAATGTGTGTTGCGAGTGCATGTATGTGCGTGTGTGTGTGTGCGTGTGGAGCGCGCGCTGCAACAACAACAACAGCCAGCACGGTGTAAATTTACAAACTCAAGCTGAACAATAAAGCGCATGGTAAAAAGAAAAAGAAAACACGCGCACACACACACACACAGACACTCGCGCCCTCAAAAGCAAAAGTAAAGATAAAGTTGAGCCAAGCAAAGACAAGGACAAAAGGCTGTGATTCAAGCCAAAGTCGTCAAGCAGCTGAACAGCCAAAGACACAACAAACATGCATAATGTCGATGGACATGCTTGCTGATGTTGTTGTTGTATTTGTTATTTTGCTGTTGTTGTCTCTTCGCCATTCGATCGAGTGACAGCATCCAAAGGCGCCGAAATAAAATCATGAATGGCGTGCGACATGGCCTGCACACTGGGGCCAAAGACTAAGAAACTGAACAAAGACAATGAGAAACTCAATCTCGAGCCACTGTGGGTCGCAGATTTTCCGTTATTCGTTATGGTCGCTTCGTTTACCGCTAACTGCCTATGGTTCATTATTGCTATTGGTTAATTTTTTTGTGCAGCTGGCTAAGCACCGTTTATTGAACCGTAATTCCAAGTCAGTCTCAGTCTCAGTCTCAGTCGCTGCCGGAGTCGAAGTCGCAGTCGCAGTCGCAGTCTCTGAGTCAGCGCTTGTTCCTGCCGCCCCCAAATCGTCCGGTGTCATGCGGAGGGTGGTTTTTTTTTTTTTTTTTTTTCGTTTGGTGCTTTCGTTTCTCGTTCTTCTCATTTATTTATATTTTTCGCCACGTTGCGCCTTCAACTTCAACCACTTGCCGCCGTCGACGTCATCGCACGCGCCCTCCAATCCGCCCCAGCTAGAGCCAGCTACAGGGGCTGCAGGGCAGCCATACAACAACAAACCGAAACTTGGTGTCATTGGCACTCTCTCGGGTGTTTTTTTTTTGTTCTCTGCTTTTTTTGTTTAAACTTTTGCTTCGAACTGGGCATCGCGTGCTCGATGCGCATAAAGTTAAGCTAAAGAGTTTGCAAATGCTTGGCAAATCAATTGATTAAAGGCAATCACTAACGGAACACTTAGTGCTAGTGCCGTTATACGCAAAATCGCCGCAAACTGCAATGCAATGCGAACGAATTTGATAATTGTTAGGGTTCTGGTACGCAACGATTTGCATGACATGCACATGACTGACAACAGCTGTCGCAATCAAGCCAGCATCAAATGCACAAATGAACCAATGATAACGCGCCATAATAAAAACAATAAACCATATATATAAATACAAAAAACAAATAGTTGCAAATGCATATGATTCGCTAATGTTGCACCCGCCACCGCTCACCGCTCACCGCACACCGCTAACGCAACCGCTTACCGCTCATCACCAACACCAACAACACCACCACCAGAACCACCACCATCACCAATACTAAGCAACAACTAGCTAGCTAGCCATAAGAACCACCAAATCAAGCAAGCACGGCACTCAACTCTGGCTTGAGCCTTGCCACGCCTCGCCTCGCCCCGCCCCGCCTCGCCTGGCCTCAACTCAACTTAACTTGAAGCAGTTGCAACGGAGACAGCGCGTTATTTGATGACGCTTCTCAAAATGTCTTCAACGTTTTCATTTGTAAAATGTGAGCGACTCTTTACAGTTATACCTAGCACATATCTAGATACATAGATACATACATGCATATGGGCATTTCCTGGTTTGTCACGCACGTGACACTCCAGCGACTTTATTGCGAAGAAACACAGAGACATGTTCTACATATTTTATACCTTGGTTAAATTGTCTTGTATAAAATCATGCCAAGGAGGAGGAGTTTTCAGTTCGTATTCATAAAAACGCAAAATTAAACTTTATTTTTTGTATGCTGTACAGCAAGGTAGCAAGGGCTTACGAAAGGTTGCTGGTTCTAATTATGTAGGTAGGATTTTTTTTAAAACATTTTGTATATAAAATAAAAATTGAATGTAGGGCAACAATGTGTTAAGACCTTAATAGGCAATAAATTTAAAAGAGTAGAGGTAGCAAGCGAGAGAGCGCTGGTTCTAATTATGTAGGTAGCTCTAAAATCAAGCTAAAGATTCTTTTTTAAATATTTGCTTTTATATAAAATAAAAATTGAATGCAGGGCAACAATGTGTTAAGACCTTAATAGGCAATAAATTTAAGAGAGTCGAACTAGCAAGCGTGAGGTCGCTGGTTCTAATTATGTAGGTAGCTCTCTAAAATCAAGCTAAAGAGGAGTGTTCGCAAAATTTAACTTTCTTTTTTTATGGTTTCTTTCTTTTACTTTATAAAATGCAGGGCAACAAGGTGTAGGGAACTTGATAAGTACTAAATTTAGGAGAGTCAAACTAGCAAGCGAGAGGTCGCTGGTTCTAATTATGTAGGTACCTCTCTAAAATCAAGCTAAAGAGGGGTGTTCGCAAAATTTAACTTTCTTTTTTATGGCTTCTTTCTTTTACTTTATCATATGCAGGGCAACAAGGTGTAAGCAGAGTCGAACTAGCAAGCGTGAGGTCGCTGGTTCTAATACAGAAGTAATTTTGAATCTGCAAATAATTTTACTTATTTTAAAAATTGTGCAGCCTAAATTGCTTCTTTCGTGCAAGTCATAATGTGTTAAGTGAGACGAGTCGAAAGGAATTTAAAAGAAAATTCAATTTTCCAATTTCATTTAATACCATACAAATGAAAATCAATCAAACAATCAATTTGGGAAAATCCGTTTTGCTATTTTATTTATTTTTTTTTGTATTCTGTTCATGCTGTCTGTGGAAATGCCCATATGCATAATACTAGTTCTCGTTCTTGTTCTCGTTCTCACTATCAATAAATACTGTTAACTACTAGCGTAGTGGCCCATTCGCACACACCCTACTCCATGTTGCTACCCCCGAAACATTCAACCCGATTACGAATTTTACTCCCAAAGTTGTTGGCCAACTAGTGGCAGTATTTTGTGTCATATTCCAAGTTACATGTTTGCCACTTTGGTTAGTTGACTGACAAACCAAATTCTTGTTTTTTATTTTATTTATTTTTTCAAAATTTGTTGAGCAACATTTTGTTTTGCATACCTTTCCTGCAACAACAAAAGCCATAATCGAGCTAACCACTTTTCGTGTTCTCTTGTTTTTTTGTTTTTTATTTGTTTTTTGTCGTTCCCCCCACCTGCCCTCGTTCAAGCTGTCTTCCTTGTATGCGAACACATTACGAATATTTCTTCAACTTGTTTATTCACTTCTTCCTTTACACAACTTTGGTCAACTGTTGGAAAATTGAAAATGCCTTTGCAATTATGCAAAGTCCAAGCCTCAAAAAATTGCTATAAGCTGGACACAGTTATGCTATGGTATCTGTTCAGAAATTTAACCATTCATTACCATATGCCAACCGTACACATAAACTGTAGTTAAAAAGTTGCTTGCAAAAGTCTCGAATTGGCTTAATATTGGGCCTGTTTTGGGCGGCAACATGTAAATAACTCCCAGCCCTGCTTGCAACCAACTACCGACCGTTCCATAGAACCTCCTACAGCAAAGACAACACCAAAGGCATGCCACTTCCCACATTCCTCGGTACAAGCTTAAAACCAAATCATATTCAAAATTACTTTGAAGTCGGAACATCTTTCGACTGCCTGATACTCGGTTCAAGATGTTAAAACAGCTGCAAATGGGTGGAATTCAATCTTCATTTAACATTAAATGTTAAAGTTGAATCTATTTATCGAAATTGGATAAAAATACATTTTCAGAGTACTGAAAATATTGTCATAACATTGTCAGAAACTAAAACAAGTGTTCATCTTTTCTTAGTATAAAACTAACTACTTCCCAACTAAAATACTTGTATAGATATTTGAAAGTTCTTCGGTCCGATTTGGCTATCGACTTCAGTTGTTCGATGTCATAACTTGTTGTGAATTTTAACGCGTCAAGCAATGCGAATTGCTTGCATTAATGTAGGGCAAGCAAATTAACTTTTTGAACAGAGTATAAGATATTAGAGTATTGTGTTCGTTTTAAATAATTGCGAATGCTTGCGTGTTGCACATCATAATCCGAATCATAGTAAAAAGTTCTTTAAACATTTGCACAAAATTCAAAATTCGAAATTCAACTTTGCAATTTAGTCAACAATTCTAAACTAGCTATTCTAAAACATAATCGCATTTGTTTCCATAGTTTCCACGTTCAATGCGTTCGCTCGTTCGTTCGTTCGTTCGTTTTGTTAACCAGTTCAATTTTATTGTATAAAGAGCTTGACTAGCCAGAAAAGAAGTTCACTAAGGCGCCAAGCAAAGACGAATATAAAATAAGAAACTGGGAAACCAATTATGAATGAAAAAACCAACAACAACAACAAACATATTAATTCCTAAAGTGTTTCTAATCACAAGTTCTTCAAATTCTCTCTTAAATAAACATAACACACAAAACGCACACAAAACCAACAAACCAAATTTAACAATCATCCATTCAATAAACGCAGCCCAAATTGCGCATTTGATTAAGACCAAAGCGTGCGAGCTTTTAGCAGAAGGTAAGTAATAAGCCACTAATATCTATACTATCTATTCTTCCATATAATGCGTATTTATTCCGATGGATTAAACTAGAATTTAAATGTCAGTAAACCATATATGCATATATCTCAGCACGTATTGCCAGGCCTTGCTCGGTACAAGTTATTGTGTTCCACATAGAAAATTCAAATCCATTCGTACTATTTTGAACTGCATAGCTTAAGTTGTATTTTACTTGATGCCGCAGGAATCTGCTTTATCAATCAATCGTTTGCCAACCCATTTTCAAAGATCACAAAAGGCATTCTTATTCCCATGTAAACTTAATTTGTGTCTGCTCTACGAAAACATAGATGTCGTAAGTGTTGAGTCTAGCTATTATAATCTTTGAGATACACTTAATAATCGGTGCTGGAAATCGATACTTATCGGTTACGATATGAAATGCGCCATATGCTGTACATGTTACGTCGAATTTCTCTGAAAACTCTAAACATACTGCAGAAATATCCTTATTTTGCATTAGCTGACGTTTCAACAATGTTAAGGACTTTAATCAGATGAAAAGGCATTCAAAAGTCGTTTTCAATCAACTCGATAATTATGTGGCATCAAAGTGGGCTTAAGCAAGAGCTTCATTTTCAACAGATTGTTCCTATGAGATCTTTAGGAAATCGTAGACCGATTTGAAAGGAATTCAGATGTAGTAAGAGTAGAGAGTAAGGCTCGTGATACCTGAGTTTGATCAAGAAATCCCAAAGAACAGAAAAGTTTTCGATTTCAAAATTAATTTTTTGGCAGATTCTTACTATTGAGCTATCTGATGTAATAGTCTGATGTTAAAAGGTTTTTGCACGGTTTTTGCTCAGCTTAAAATGGAATAAATATTGATTAATGTACATATCCTTAGATTTTAGATAAGGTTTCGTATTGATCCAGCTCGAAATTATATAGTTTTTGAACTACTTTTAATATTAGAACCTGCCCCGAACCCCCATTCGTGGGGGAATTCAGGTTATTTCCAGACATTCCGATTTAATTAAACTGCCGAGTGAATGAATAAATGCATGAATGAATAAATGAATGAATGTTTTTCACTGTCATCACCATTTGACCAATACACAAAACTAAGATTATTCCATTTGTGCCTCTTCCTCTTCTACAGTGTCATGATTCAGCCAAATGTAAAGTTTTTTTTTTATTGCTCTTTGTTGGACACAATTTCGAAGGCAGACGGCGATTTAGCTCTAAAATATTGGTTATTAGCATAACAGATGGCTGGCATGGGACGCGGGGGGCAGGCGTTTAGCTGAGGGCTTAGGGGAAGTGATGTTGAATTGCTGAGAAAGCAGCCATCGCCTTTTGTTGCCTACTTTTTGGGGTCAGGGACTTGTTTTGTCAGCTAGCTAGACACAGAGAGCTGAGAGAGAGAGAGAGAGAGAGAGAGAGAGAGAGAGAGAGAGAGAGAGAGAGGGACAGTGAGTTGGAGAGTGCGAAAGAGAGAGTGGCATATACATACATCTATTTATCGCTGGCTACCCACAATTTTTGTTACTCATCGCAGCACACAGACCCCGCATCCCGCACCCCGCACCCCGCACCCGACTGCGGCGTCGCCGGCTGGGCTGCATCTTTTGTGTTGTGATTCATCGCCAAATGCATATTGGCCGCTTTGGCCACAGCAACAGCAACTGCATCAGCCAGATAAGTGCCACCACAGGGCCATGCTCTCCTCCCCTCACACCCCAGCCATGCCATATCATGGCCCACTTGGAGTAATCCTCCTCAAACCGAACGTTGACGTTGTTCTCGTCATCATCGACTGTGCCACTGGCTGTTGCTGCTTCAGTTGTGCCTTTTGTTGCAGCGCCTGCAGATTGCGCCTAATTTGGCGTTAAGCGAACTGTATTTACAGCTGCTCTCTCGTTCTCTCTCTCTGCCTCTCTCTCTCTCTCTTTCTCTTTCTCTTTCTCTATTTCGCTGTTCACGCGACTTGTTCCTAATTAGTTTTTGAAGCCACAAAAATTGAACGAGTCCACATTTAAGCAGGAAATGTTTTCCACAATGCGTAGTACAAAAAGTCAGAGTAACACATTTTATCATAAATTGTTTCAATTAACTCTCATGTTGACGATGCCTTTCAAGAAATATGAACTTTATTTAGGAGCCAGATGTGAAGGCTTATGCTCAGCTCCTATCAGACTATTATATTTCAAAAGAAAAATGTTATACCTCTGATATGATATAGAACCGCTCGAATAAACCTTTTTCAGCTTCAACGAGTTTGGAATCGCTAGCATTAAGGGTAATTCATTTAATACAAATTACGGTGAATGTCTTTCTCTAAATCATAAGGGCAGGACTAGGCAGGAACTAGTTTCCAACCATAGAGTTGTATTCTCGAATATTTAACTTAAGATCGACTGACTGTGGGGATTGAATAGCTGACACATTGACTGACTGAGCGATTGACTGACTAGCTGACTGACAGAGAATTGAATAGCTGAATAACTGACAGATTTGACTGACTGATTGATTGACTGACTGACTCATTGGGTGACTAAGTAACTAAATGGACTGAATGAATGACTGACTGATTGATTGACTGTATGACATAATTACTGACTGACTGTCAGAGGAATTGAATAGCTGACAGATTGACTGACTAATTGATTGAGTGACTGACATTGACATTGGCTGGCTAAGTAACTGAATGGTTTGATGATTGACTGACTGACTAGCGGAGAGATTGAATGGCTTACTGACTGATTGACTGACTAATTCACTGATTGATTGACTGATAAAGCGATTAATTGGGCTGACAGATTGACTGCCTGATTGATTGACTAGCTGACTCAATTGCAGACTGACTGGCAGAGGAATTGAATAGGTGAATAGCTTACAGATTGACTGACTGACTGATCGATGGACTTACTCAATGGCTGACTAAGTAACTGAATAGTTGACTAGTTAAATGACTTACTGATTAACTGACTGAGGGATTATTTGGGTGAATCGCTGATAGATTGACTGCCTGATTGATTGACTGGCTAACTCGATTGCAGGCTGACTGGCAGAGGGATTGAATGGCCGACGGATTGACTGACTAGCTGACTGGCAAAGGAATTGAATAGCTGTATAACTGACAGATTTGACTGACTGATTGATTGACTGACTGACTCGATTGCAGGCTGACTGGCAGATGGATTGAATGGGTAAACGGCTGACTGATTTATTGATTGACTGACTCATTGGGTGGCTAACTTACTAAATATACTGAATGAATGACTGAATGAGTGATTGATCTATTAACTGACTGAATGGCTGGCTGACTCAATGATTGATTGACTGACTGACTGACTGACTAAGTAATTGAATGACTAAATGGCTTTTTTATGACTGTTTAATACGCATACGAATTATTTATGTTACCTGATTATGTCTGTTATTAATTGTCTCGCTTTCTGATGGTTGGCAGCCCCCTTAGGAGGCTAAGGCATCGCTTTAGATCAAATTAATACACTTCAACTGTCCGCAACAACAACTTATGCATAGTGTGCGAATGTGTGTGTGTGTGTATGTTTGAGGGATTCATTGCACAAATATATGTGATTCCTGTCTGATACTTCAATAGGCTGACACAATGCAAAGTGAGTTGAGGCCTGACGTGAACTGTTGTTGTCCATTTGACCGAGTCCGAGGCGATTGGCTTTGACTTAACCCGTCGTCCTACAACCCCTAACCCAAACCCGTACAGCAACCTATTTGATGAGTCCTGTGCGCCTCCTCCAGGTAGGCTCGGCGTACGAGCTCACGTGTTTTGTTTGGACGGCGCGTGTGAAAAGCGGATATTGTCATATTGCTGGACGCATTTGTGTGCTGCCAAACGTTGCGCATACGCCGCGTGTTGCGGACACACACGTTGCTATAGTGCATGTGCGTGTCTGTGTTCGTGTTCGTGTGCCTGTGGGTGTGAGTGTGCCTGTGTGTGACGCTCTTTTTGTGTCTGTACTTAACTAATATGCTACGTACGTCGCTTTGGCACGTTGCAATTGTTGTTTGGCGCATGTTTTTACCGCTGTTTTGTTTCTTTTTCTGGTTGTTCCAACAACTTTCGTATTGTGTTTTCTTTTTTACCAGCCGCTGCAATAAATGTTTGTTGTGGGCAAATGGAAAAGTGTTGGCAGCGGGGAAATAAACGAGAAAGAAAAAACCCCAATGACAGACAGGCGCTCTTAATGCCCTGCCACAACAGACAATTATTGTATCCGCATGGATGATTTTATTGCATTTTAGCATTTAAGTCAAATGCTGTATAAATATAATCGCGACATAAATTGGCAATGGTGGGTGTGTGCACATGCATGCGACATTGGAGGTGAATTGAATCGTGAATATTAGCAGCGAATCGATGTGACAGCAGGGATAACATTCATTCAAGCATTTTGTCAACCCAACAAGCCAAGCTTATGTGTCAATGGAGTTGTTTAGCTGGAAATGTAGCTAAAGCTAGGCATGAGCTGATGTTGGTTAAAGCGAATAACAGCTAGAAGAGTATTTAATCTACACAATTCAAAACTAACCAATTTGTCGCCGATCTCTGCTGCAGCAAATTGTATTTATATTATTTAATAAGTTTGTCATTTCCATTGCCGTATTCATGCTCGCCAAGTTAGCTAATTAATTGGTTAAACAAATTAATTATAATCTATTATGACAGACCTCATACCAACATTTTCTTCTGGTTCGGTTAACTAACCAGTAGGCTCTTAGTTATTGGCTTGTTATGTGCATTTTTTAATTTTTATTGAATAATTAATCTGCCACCATGTTTGGCAATACTCCGGCTCTTGTTATCCGTACCACCTTTTTGGCCCTGCATTCTCCCTTTGCCTATAGTTTCTGCTGCTGGGGTCGTGATAAAAACACAAGTTAATTACCCGAGCCGTTCAATATTCCCTTAATGTGACCAAATAGGTTATTAAAAACGGAAAGTATTCCGGATCTAAAATTATAC